CGATTTATTTTTTGATCATCCCTGTACCCCCAAAACCCATTGCTGTTGAGCGATTCTGACTTTAACAGTGACTCTACAGGACAGAGTAGAACTGCCCCAAAAGGTTTCCAAGGCTGTGATTTTTATGGACGCAGACTGTCACATCTTTCTCCCACACAGTGGCTAGTGGGTTTGAACCGTAACCTTTCAATTCACGGCTGAGCACTTTCACCACTGTGCCAACAGGGTTCCTTAATCATATAAATAGTGTTTTCTGATCCCAAATCGAAAAATAAATCGGTAAGTGTGCTTTTAAATATACTTCTGCTTTTAGAGCTAATTAAAATTTTGTCCTTGCCAGAAGTATTAACCTCATGGGAATATTTGATGGAGCTTAACTTCCTGGTATGTTATATAATCTTATGAAATTCAAGTATACTTACAAATTGCAGATAGCTTTTAATTTCAAACAGCAGATGCTTAAGAGCAAGTATTTCACTCTAGCTGATCAGTAGCTTTATGAATAGAAACACACCCACAATTTATGAATTGTTGATTTTTTCCAGTACTTTTCTTTCACACGTATGTGATCAGAAACTTAATTTTTGAAATTCAGTTTGATATTTTTACTTGAATGAATAGTCCTCAAGATTTCTTGAAGAAGAAATCGATTTTGTGAGCTATGTTAAAGTATATAATCTAGCTGAGATAGATTTTGAAGCTAGTCACTAATGAAATTGTAATTTATTCGTTAATCTACAAGCCTTTTTCTTTAAGCAATCTAAAGAAATGGTCAAGCTAATAATGCTTTGAGAGTTTTTGACTAATTGGTAAAGAAGTACAGAAAAATGGGAGTACACTAAATAGGGTAATAGTCTCTTTTTAGAAAAACTGGCCAGGTGGCTGTTGAATTTTCCTGAGAGTGGTGATTTCCCCTAACTTCCAAAAGAGGACTCTATATTGCTTTGTAGTCATGAGCTAGGAAATACTATTAATTTGTTTACCAAGATAATTAAAATTCCTTACTTTTATTTTCAGGCTCCTCCATTACCATCCTCCTCATCTTGATATTGTTCCATGGACATTAAATGAGACCTTTTCTGCTATTCAGGAAGTAACCCAGTTCTGCACCACTGGTTTTTGTAGCTATCTCGTAAGGCTGCTGGCTGAAAACTGTGTCTATGCAACCTTCCAAGTGCGGAGTGTCAACCAACTGGACAGGGGAGAGCACTGCTCCTACTCCAGGACTCTCACAAAGCTGATACAGCTGTACTTCAGAAAAAAAAATAATAATTTCCATGTTTTGTATATATCTGACAAAACTGGCAACATCATACAGACTACTGACTTGAAGACAACCTCTTTTATATTTCTCTTTCGGGGCTGATGAATTGGTTTTCATCTATCTTTTCTTCCTTCAGAATTTAACTTGGAAAAAAAATACTAGCCTAGCTGGTCATTTCTTTGTAAGGTAGTTAGCAATTTTAAGTCTTTCTTTGGTCAACTTTTTTTTAATGTGAAAAGATAGGTAAGAAACTTTTTTACAGCTTTTATGTTTTTCTGTCTTGTTTTGAAACCATGACGGTTACACTTTTGGTTCCTAAATAAAACATTAAAAAAAAAAAAATTAACAGCCAAGTCACAAAGATAATGGATTGCACATAGACTAAGGAATAAACTTCAGATTTGTGATTTTTGTTTCTAATCTTGATGTAAATTTACACTATTTATAAATACATATTTATTGCTTGAAAATATTTGTGAATGGAATGCTGTTATTTTTTCCAGATTTACCTGCCATTGAAATTTTAAGGAGTTCTGTAATTTCAAACACTACTCCTATTACATTTTCTATGTGTAAATAAAACTGCTTAGCATTGTACAGAAACTTTTATTAAAATTGTTTAATGTTTAAAGAGTTTTCTATTGTTTGAGTTTTAAAAAAGACTTTATGTACAGTACCCAGTTTTTGTTCATTTTTCAAATCTGATTATATATATTTTATATATACTTACATATGTATATATAATATATATAGAAATCTGGATATATATGTATAAAGATTTAGAACTTTAAATTTTTCTCGTTTTAAGTTTCACATCTATGGTAGATTTTTGAGGTGTCTACTGTAAAGTATTGCTTACAAAAGTATGATTATTTTTAAAGAAATATATATGGTATGTATCTTCAAGACCTAAAATGTCAGACTGGTTTATTGTTAAGTTGCAATTACTGCAATGACAGACCAATAAACAATTGCTGCCAAAATGTAGTGAATAGTAGAAAACAAATAGTGATTGAACTTAGATCTTAAAGGGAATGTCCTGTGGGCTGACTAATCTTGTACATCGTTTAATAGAAATTTATTGGGGAAAATAATTCAGGGCAAAGGGCTCTATTTTAGAATGTAAATAAATTAAGAGACTTCCTATTTTTAAGTTAGGCAGTTTTGAAATCTCATACTTTCCTGCCTTGTATGACATGATGGGGAGGTGGGTGTGCAAATCCCATAACATTTAGCAAGCTATATTAGTATTAACAAATCACTTATAATTAATGGTATTATTTCATTTTATAATAATTATACCTACCAGTGAAGTTATATATATGACTAAAGAGACTTTATATGGCGAAATATCATGCTTATTGCGTTAATCATGGACTCTTTTTCAAATGTTTTGGAGTATGTTGCCTTCCTAGAAACAGTTTGAAGGCTGAAAGCGTGGAGATCTTAAGGTCAATTAGTTAATATGATAAATATCTACTAGCAGCAGTCATCTTTTATAATTTCAGGAGGAAAATAATACAAACCTATTTCAATTAAGAAACAAGAGTATTTGTCTGAGTGCTGCCCAGGAAGTTTCACCACTAATATTTTTAAGTGATTTTCTTGTAAAATCTCCTATCCAGAGGTCATGGAGAATTAAAAAAAAAAAAAAAACCTTGAGACAAACATTTTCACAAACAAAATTGTAAACCAGTCATCAAAGAGCAAAAATTATAGGAATGCTAAAAAA